GCCTGATGGGGCCCCTCCAGCGGCCCCCCCGCTCGGGCCTAGCCCTTCCTCCGTCCTCAAGACTGCCGTTGCATGTGCAGCAGGGCGCCCCGCCCCGCCTCCATCGGTCTGGGCTTGTGTGTACTTTTCCCTCCGGCCCCAGCGGGCCGCGCGCCCCGCCACGCCCAACCGCTGCGCGTTTCAAGCAGCAGAGCCACAGACATGCGCGTCTGCGGGACCCCGCGCCGTGGCCCCCTGCGCTCACGAGCGCGGGCCGCTCGCAAGCCCGCGTCCGCTTGTCGGCGGCCGCGCACGTATAGCTTTCATTATTGGTCGTTTTTCCCACTGGTGTGTGTGCGCGCTTCGTGTGGCAGTCTGCCGCCGCGCGCGCCGCGCCGCGCCTTGCCGCGCCAGGGCGGGCGGCCGCGCCGTGTGCCTGGCTGCCTGGCGTGGCCGCCCCGCTCTTGCTCCGTGCCCTGGCTCTGACCTACCCCCCTATAAAATAGCTGCAGCCCGCTGCCCCCGCTGCCCTGTGCCTCAACAATTGCACAGGCGGTGATCATGGGCTTCCCGTCCAGTAACTGTCCCAGCTTCCAGCTTCGCAGCGCCATCCATATTCTGAGGCCGACAATTTGCGGCCGTTCAGCGAGTTGGCAAGAGCGGCGCCGCCACAAATCAAGGAGTGGCACCCACAAGATGCAGCCCTGCAAGCAGGGCATGGCAGGGTCGGCGCTGGCCAAACCACACCGCGTTCAATGCAATAAGGAGCAGCTAGTCTTGGTGAAGAGGAGAGGCAGCAACAAGTAGGGAAAGGCGAACAACACGCAAAGTGAGAATGCGAACAAGCAACATCAGAAACTGCAAACACCTGTCTGAAACCTGCTACTACCAGAGACCTGGCCGTCTTCTATACTAGCCGCACGAAACCTGAAAAGGCTGCCACGTACAAACCATGCACGTGCCCCAAATAGGACTCTCAGACAGGGCCCGCGGCAGACGGGCAGCCGCGTACGCGCGGCTTGCCGGCGCCCGCCAACAGCGCCCGTCCCGAGCCGCGGCCCTCTGCCGAATCCCTGCCTGACAACCACCAAACAACAACTCGCAGACCCCAACGCGGCGCCGCCGCGCAGCGGCCGCTGCGGCGGCGGCCGGCGTCACACGATGCCCCACCGCGCCTCCATCGCGTTCGTTATCCGCGAGATGGCATAGGCCGCGCTCAGGGGGTACTCCGAGACACTCAAAAACTCGTCCACGTAGGACTCATCGATCTTGCCGTGCGCGAAGCCGCCCACCACGAACACGATCGGGCTGGCGAGCTCGTCGTCGCGCAGGGCGGACGCCCAGGCCGCCATCGGCACGAGCTTCTCGCTCGAGTGAGAGAAGCCCACGCGGCGCGCGCCGGCCGGCAGGTGGCGGGTGACGGGGCCCTTGATCACCTTTTGGGGGAGGTTAGGGCGGCGGTTGGCGGCGGTTGGGGCGTGGAGGTTAGCAGCAAGCGGGAGGATGCGAAATGCAGGAAGATGGGTGTCAAGCTGTCAGGCGTGGTGCCAACACGTCTGCACTGCTTCATGCACACGTTGCAGCCAACCAACACACACGCTCGAAGAAACGTCAACACGTCCCCCTCCCCGCACACGTGCACACACCCACATACACACATGGCGAGCCCGCCGGCCCACCACCCCCAACACCCGCCCCTCTGCGCCCAGCGCGCTCACCCTCATCAGCTTGTCCGGCCCGTTTGTCGCGCGAATGCTCAGCTTCTGCAGCAGCTGCACCATCAGGCCGCAGAAGCGCGCGAAGGTGCGCGGTAGCCGGACCTTGGGGTTGATCTGGATCAGCACGTTCTTGGACGTGTGGACATAAAGGCCCTGGCCAAGGACGACGGATGAGATGGATGTGATACTTGGGGTTTTGTGGCGGGGTGCCGGATGACCGGGCGCATGGCGAGAAGAGTGGGGAGAAGAGGGGCGCGCGCGGGGCGGGGCGGGTGGGGGGTTCGCCTCGGGGCGCTGCGGGTGCGCTGTGGCCGGCGCCCGAGGCGCCTCGAAGCTCGGGCAGAGGCCGGCTCGCGCGGGGCTGCGTGTGCCCGGCCTGCGTGGCTGCGTGATCCTACCTTGAGCTTGCCGGCTTTGTTGAGCGGGCTGTCCAGAATCATCATCAGAGCCTGCCGGGGGGAATCCAATTGCGGTCAGGCGCCTGCTCAGCGCCGCTGGGCCGGGGCCGCGCATTGAAGCACGCGCTTGCGGCGCCTCCACATCCGCGCGACGCCTTCGCTGCTGCACGAGTCATCAGTCGTCCTTAGCCCGGCAGCTGCGCGGCAACGCGGGCCCTCTCAGGCCAGGGCCCGCAGCGTCCCCGGCGGGCGCCGCCCCAGCCGCTGCTGGCGGTGGACCCGCAGCTGCGGTGGCATGTACACGCCCCTGCCCGCACCCCGCGCAAGCCCTGCCCGCAGCGGACCTGGTGAGCAATGTCTGGGCGGTAGTGCGCCGGGTCCTTTTTGTGCTTTTTAAGGTAGCCCGCGTGGTCGTCGCAGTTCAGCAGCTGGTATGCCTGGTTTTGGGCGGTGTTGTTCGGCGCAGGTCGGTGCAAGACGGGCGGGTGGGGTTGAACGAATATGCAATGGAGCCCGCTCTCCAGGTGGCGGGGTGGCAGCGAGGATAAAAGTTCATGTGTTTGCATAGCTCAGGCAGCTGCCAATGCAATGCATACACTTGTGAAGGGTGTGGAGTTGCCATGCGATGAGCCAGCACTGCAGGACCTGTGCCTGATGCAGCATGGCCATGGTGGCAGGCGGCGGCCGCAGCGGCGAGAGCAGTGCAAGCAGCGGCGGCGCACGGCAGGGCCCCGCTGACCTTCCCGACTTGCGCGGTCTCCAGCTGCGCTCCTTCAAGGACGAATATGACCCCTTGACCCGCCTCTATATCCCGGCGCTCCTCCTCCTCCAGGACCGGTGGTGCAAGGCCTCCCACTGGCGGCATAGCAGCTACTTACAATCTAACATGAGAGAATTTTTCTTCTTTGATTTTACATCCGATCTAAATATTGTCATCGAAGTGATCTGTCACCCTGGTAGTCACTGGACGCCGTGCAGGCAAAGGGGCCAGGTGTCGCGTCTCAGATTTTTCTTGTGACTGTGATTCTTGGAGCAGGTTTGTGTTCAAGGGTAGTGCGCCTTCCGCCTACCGCCTGTCGGGATCCATCCGCTGCCAACCTGGAGTTGACCAGCCCTGGCCATTCGACTGCAAAACCACGCGCACGCTAGCGTGGCCCGTGGTCATAGAGTGCTGCTCAGCATAAGATTCGCTTATGAGAACCTGTAGTCATTTCATGCGGATTTTTACAGTCTTACCAGGTTGTCGCCCGCTCTACTGGCCCGGCTCTTGGGATGATGGCGCGAGCGAGCGATAGCGTCAACAGTGCTGCTCCGCATAGAGCGTGCCCCGCACTCGCTTGTTCATCGACGCATTCTCTTATACTTGCCTTCTAGGAACCTTGATGCTGATAAAATGGGAAAAGGAAAACCAGCCCAAGACCCCGGACCACGGGGGCAACCTACACCAAACCCCGCCCTGAGGATATGACGGGGGTCACCGGGCGGCCCTTGATGGCATCCCGTCGTTTCCTTGGTGCAGAATGTCTTCAGGCTTTCCGAGCCACTGGTCACAAATCTGCACCTGTTTACAGCAGTCATCTTTACACAGTGAAGGGGGGTCCAGAGGCGGTAGCCTCCACAGCTAATCCCCCTGCAAAAAAAACGGCACGGGGTGCGGCCGCTGCAGGCCGCACCGCGCAGGAAGAAACTCCACTATTAATCCCACCCATAAATCACGCCCACCCCTGCTTTTGAGTGTGAACAGCGCGTCAATGTGAATGTGAGTCTCTCTCAAGGAGTCCTGAGAAGGAATAACGCCGCCAGTCATGATGCACCCGCGGCTGCAAACTCCCTCTATCGGCCCCACACATTGCTCGGTGCAGTTGCACAGGCTTGCCGGTTTTTGAAAAGGGCTGCGCTGCAAAACACGTCAGGTGGAGTGCACTGGGATCCAGTGATGCGCACATTAGAGGTGCAATCACGCTAGATGAACCAGCTAATTGCCACGCCTGCAGCTACATTTGCTGCTGTTGCTGCTGCGCTTGCTCCCGCCGCCCCTGCGCCCGCTCCCGCCGCTGCCACCAGGCAACAACATCAAACATCATCCCTCATTCCTTGGCCAGTGCTTTCCCTGCTTGGTTGATAACCTCGTTCAGCAACGCCACGCATACAGCGTCAAGCGACCAGCCAAGCAGCCGCCCAAGCACAGAGCGGAGGGTGCCTGCAGAGTGGGGATGTCAGGGAAACAGGGCGTTCATCAGCCAGTTGCGGCCTGCAAGGGTAACGGCACATTCGATAAGACTGCTTGGCCACGGCAACATACCGTGGCTGCACCAAACACAGCGGGCAAGGAACAGGGGGGCGGTGGCAAGGCGACAAGGGAAGGGATGATCCGCTGGTACAGACAGTTACAGAGACCAAGAGCGCAATTTTGGAAACCGCTGCATTCACCAACAAGACAGCATTGCAACCCCCCCCCCCGCAGGTTCATCGAAGACGCATGTTTGCAAAAGTGCGCTGATCCTAGCTAGGAACCTGTGTGCAAAGTGGGGCCGCATACCTGTGTACCTAGCCTTCAGGTAGAGGTGCTGGCCGGGCTGCACCTGGACATCAGTGCTGGACAGGCGCTGATACGAGGGCTCGCTGCAGGGGCTGTCCTCGACGGCGATGCCCTCCAGCTTGAAATCGCCATCCACTTCACTTGCCACCTGGTGCTTCACCTCTGACAGGTCCACAGTGCCCCCTTCTATCGGTACCCTTAAAGAGGGCATGTTCTTGCCGCCCAGCCGGATGTGCACGGTAGCTTTGGGGGGAACTGCAGTTGATGGACCGTAGCTCACTGTTAACGGGGCAAAGGGGGCAGCAGGGTGATGTGACTACGTTCATCAAGCATCTGTTGCACATGTGCGCACCAGGCATCTCTTTTACCTCGTGTGCAAAGTGCATGTCAACCCACGCATTTGCAGCCCGGCATGCAGTTTGGGAGCGTAGGACTGCAACTGCTGCACGCCCTTGCATGCCAGAACACAACGTTGAGTCGCACCTGCCAACGGGGGCACAACTGTATATGTGCCTGCCGGCACGCTATCAGTACTCAGGTATTCCATATTGGTATCATTGTTCCGCAAGGAGCCATCGCAGTTGCCCGTCAGAGCTACCAGCAACTTGAACGCGGTTGAGCCTGGCACAAACCGCCTGCCATTGACCTGCACTGCGGTCATCTGCAAGCACGTAGAGTGTGGATGTGGGCAATGGGCAGGCGGTATCAAGCCGAGTGCATCCACCTTGGCTTAGACGCTAAACGAGGTGGACATGCTGCACCATACAAGTGTCAATCGTGATGGCCAGTTTTGCGTGCACGCACATGGCTGTGTGATGACCGACAAATGCATGCAGGAGCTCAGCCGAATTCCTACCTGGTGCAACTGGCTACCTAGTGCACCTAGGGCACGTCCGGCGCCTACAGAGGGAAGCGGCAAGCAGGAGTGGGGAAGCTGCTCATGGGTTTGATGCGGAGCAGCGGTGCACATGCGCATCGCCCCCAGGGTCGATTGCTTTGACCAAGGCAGCCAACAGGGTGCCATGCATGCGAAGATACCGTATCAGCACATAACAGCTTATTGAATCTGTGCCCTTGATGCTTGCAAAGTTGGGCAGAAACTAGCAGGAAGCAGACAACAACACCAGTGTGTGTACTGTCCAGTAATGCCGACTACGGGTGGCGGCGCCAGCAACGCGCCACCACCTGGCAACCAGCCTGCTTTTCCCTACCAGCAAGCTAGGCGTCCCTCAGCCTGCCTCAAAAACAACAGGCTGCAGCGCAACAAACAACAGGTCGAGAACGCCAGGGGTGGCCCAGCGCTGCGCCCGTGCCTGTTGTCTGCTCGCAGGCTGTCAATAGACGCAGGCAGCACCGAAAGGACCTGAGAAAGAATCCTTATACATGCACGAAGGCATCCCGGACAATGGACAAGCAAACCGCGGCATTGCCGACGGTAGCCTGGGCATACTAATGTACAACCTGCCGGGCTGCCAGGAGTCCAAGCTCCGGGCGTGAAACTAGCCATGGCTGACCTGCACGTTTTAGATGGCAAGAGGAGGGAGGAGAGTGAGCGGGCCAGTGGCGCTGAGGCCCTGCGCAGTGGGCGCCAGGTAGGCGCTGCACCTTCGCGTGAGCTGCTGCCCGCTGGGCTGCCGCCTGCGCGGCGAGCCCTCTGCCGCGCGGCAGTGGCCCTGCGCTTGTTCTCTGTCTGGGCTATCGTTTTGTCTGCTGTCCCGTACAGCAGCATTTGCCCCCCCCCCCCTCAACGCTGCTGTGCTGTCCAGGGACGGCGGGCTGGTCGCTCATCTTCTTGCGTGGCAGGGGTCGGTGGTCCTTCTCTTGCATCCATAACGCTCCCTCGTTCCCCGTCCACTGGACGGGGCACTGGCAGTGGCCTCTCAGGGTGTGTGCGACGCTGGCCGCGCTCCCGCAGCAGCCAAGGGGCAGGCAGCGCAGGGCAATCCAGTACGCGAGTTCAAGGCAAAATGCAGGTACCTACTGTAACGGCAGGCAGACAGCTTGAATCAGCCGGAGTGGGTAGTAGCAAGACAATCTTAGTATACGACTTGACACCGGCATAGCACAGGATCATCCATAACAGGCAGCTGGATGCAAGGCATGCAAGAAAGCAAGGGAACAAGCGAGCAAGCAATGGAACAAGCAAGCAAGCAAGGAAAAGGACCCGTCATGGTGCCACGTGGTCGCCTGCTCCTGGAGCCGTCCGCGCTCACGGAATTGTGTTTGAAGCACTATCTGAGAATCAGATTCGGTTGGCTACCGTCAGCGCTGTTGGAGCAGGCGCGCAAGCAGGCAGGCAGGCAGGCAGACAGGCAGACAGGCAGACAGGCAGGCAGGCAGACAGGCACTACCAGCAGAAGGGGCTTGTTGTTGTGGTGGTCTTCCCTTGGCTTGGGACCGCGAACCAGATGGGCAACATGGCTCGTAACATGCGCCTTTGTCATGACAATTGCAGTAAATGGGGCCATTGGAACTGGATCAAGCAAGGATATCCGCTGTCCCTAAATTTGACAAGAAAATATAAGGTGATCACGTAGTTACTTGAAGACGTCTGAATCAGTTATTTCCAGCAATGGCTGTGTAACGGTGGCGGCTCTGTGATGACCCTGAAAGACCAGCTTTTTCCTCAAAGCTCACAAGTGTGATTTTTATTACTCCTCTCTGATCTCACCATACCATCTTCCGCCATGGAAAAGAGTCATCCTGTGATGACAACAACCAGAGGCAGCGCCAACGTATTGTGCAACGGCGCCGCTGCCGCCAAGCGCTGCTGATGTGGAGCGCAGCTTGCAAGAGATGTATCGGCCCGGACGCATCCAGGACCACGGGCACATGATGTTGCCGTGACACCGTGTGAAGCGCGCAGCTGCCGGGCGCGGACTGTCTGCGGGGCCGGCAGCGCTGCAAACCAGGCAAAATTGTCTGTGCTGTAGTGGCCCTTTTCTGGCGGCGTGTTGTGCAGGGGCGGCGTGCGGTGTTGCAGCACGCCTTGCGGGCTATGGATTGGTACAGGCACAGTGCCAGGGGACGTCGCGGCCGGCGCAGAGGGTTGCAAGCCGGCCGCGATCGTGAACGCACCATAATGTGTGGCTGGTGTAAGACCCGACACAAATACCAAACAAAGGCAGCATTCCAACCGCTGGTCAAGGAGCGGCCAGCATTAACAGGCACCCCCCACCCTTACTTCCCCCCATCCGCTTAGGTGCCATGGAAGTCGAGTGCGCAGCTGCAGGGGCACCAAGCTGGCGCTTGGGCGATGTCTTTGCCAGTGTTGTGGTGTGACGATGGTTTTGTCATTTCATTCGACGGTCGTCGGTGTTGTTTTATAGGCACGAACGGGTTCATTGCACACCCATGCAAAGGTTGCAGGGGCAGCCCCGGCTTCCGGACACGCCCGCTGCCCCGGCTCTCCAGCTCGCTGCAAGCGCCCGCGGCGCCGTACCACCTGCTTTAGCCCGCCGCCGCGACGCTTGTTCTCTTCCCTCGCCGAGCTGCCGCTCCGACCCCACCGACCTAGAGCGCCTCAAACCTGCCGCCGGCCCCGCGCACGCTGAGGCCGGCCTCGCCTGCGCCGGCCGCGGGCCCGCGGCCGCACGCCGCGTGTGTGGGCAAGGTGAGGCTCAGCGAAGCCCGAGGCGCTCTCACAGGCTGACTGTCTCCTCTATGATCTGGCCGGCGTCGTACAGGCGGCGCGTCTCGGGGTCCTTCAGAGCGTCGTAGGCGCGCAGCACGCGCGCGAAGCGGCCCGCGGCCTGGCGGACGGGGCCGTGCGTTGTGGGACGCGTGCGCGCGCGCATGTGAGCTGCGGCGGGTCTCGGGCAACGTGCTGCACGGCGTCATCCGGCGGACAGTGGCCCTTGTGTTGACCCACGCCCACGAGAGCGCGCGCGCGCGCTGAGGTGCGCGCGCATACATGCAAACGTCGGGCGAGCCCGTGCCCACGCGTGCACGTGCGCGCGCGTGCACACACACACACACACACACAAACACACACACATTCACACGCACATGCACCCACATCATACACACAAACAAAAATAAACATCACACAAACACAATGCACACGTGCGGAAAGCAGATACACATGTCCGCGCCCACCTGCTTCTGGACGTGCGCCGCCTTGCCGATCTGGCGGTCCGGGTGCAGCTCCAGCGCCAGCCGCCTGTACGCGCCCCTGATCTCCTCCCCTGTCGGCCCCGGCCCGCCCGATGACACGCTGATGCCGAGCGCGGCGTAGTGCCCCGACGGGTCCTGTTGCGCCGCCGGCGACTGGTAGTGCTGCGCCGCGGGGTGCTCCGCCGCGCGCCTGGCCTCACGGCCGCCGGACAGCAGCCCATCAAACGCAGCCCCCCACGTGAAGACGCCCACCCTCGGCTCCCGCTGCTGCGCGCGCGCCCGTGCGCCGGCGCCGGCGCCGCCGGCGCTGGCGGGCTTGCGGCCCTTGCGCGCGTCGGCGGACGCGCTGACGTGGCGGCGCCAGGCCTCCTGAAATTCGGGTGTGTACAGGGGCGAGCGGGGCCCGTTGAGCAGCTTCTGCAGGCCGGCCAACGAGTCTTCTGGGACGCGCTTCAGGAGTTCTGAGGAGGGTTGGGACGGTTGGAGTGGGTGTGCGGGTGCGCGTCAGCTTGTTTGTGCATGTGTGCTCGTGCTTGTGCATGGGGTAGGGGGCGGCCGTTCTTGTTTGTGTGTGAGTGTGTTCGTGTTTATGAGTGTCAGAGTGTGTGTGCATGGGTGCATGGGGTTGATGTGTACAGGCGAGTTTCATGGAGCCCGGGGGGGGGGGGGGAGGAGGGCGAGGTTGCCAGGGCAAGGGCGATCAGATGCACGGCAGATGCGCTGTGCAGCCCCATACTGCGGCAAGCACGCATGTTGTTGTTGAGATCAAAACGTTGAAAGGTGCCACTGGGAGTCTTAACACAGCCGCGCCTGGGACCCCTGCCCTGCGCTTGCGAGCCAAACGCACTCACTCGACACAACTGGCTGCAGCGCAGAGCGCCACTCCCGCAGCTGCGCATCCGTCACACACCGCACGATCTGCCGGGACGCGCGGCGCGGCGCGGCGCGTGCAGGGAAGGGCGAGCGTCAGAGCCTGGATTACCGTGCCAGCAGTGCCACATGCCTTGATTGTGAACTCCGCTGCGCATTTTGCAGCCCGGGCCTCTCATTATGTATGAGCAGCAGCAGCAGCTACCGCGGCGGGCGGCACCATCTGCAGCCGCAGCCCAGCAGGGACAGCGGCAGCGGCGGCAGCAACAGCAGCTCTGGCAGCAGCGGCAGCGGCAGCGGCAGCAGCCACGTCTCCGTTACCTAATGCGCCACCCTCCCCACCCCCCTCCCACCGTCATGCCGGGGTCGGTGCGGTCGGGCATGAACAGGAACTGGCTCGTCTCTGTGTGGTACTCCGATATGCCGGACAGCACCAGGCGCTTGCCGGGCTCAAAGTCGACGACCTCGTAGCTGGGCGCCGCCGCAGCATGACGGGAGGGCACGGGGTGCCGGTCAACAGAACGCCTCGCGGCGTGCGAGCGGCCTGCGGGCGCCGCCCGTATTACCGACGCGCAGCCACCTCTGCGCCTCGGAGTGTGGTGCCCGCGCCGCCGGCCCGCCCCACTGGCCCCCCGGCCCTTGCCGCCTAACAATCCCCTCATCCCTGTAGCCACCTGAACCTCAGTCACACAACGTTGGTGCTTCACTGTACAATCCATGAGCCTGGATGGCTCCAGGAGCGCGCGACTGCGGGACGCTGTAACAATCCTAATCCTAATTCGAATCCATCCCGCTCACTGCATGGGGTAGGATAGGATGCCCCACAGCTCCTGCTTGAGCTCAAACTTGCAGCCGCGCTCCACCAGATCGCTGGCCACCCCCAGCTTGACGGCCCCCTTAGTCACGGGCGACCACTCCGGCCTGATGCGGCGCGGATGGCGGCGACGCGGGCACGGCGGTCGGGCGCGGCACGGCGCCGGCGTCGGTTCAAAGTCAACAGTCCGCGCTCGGGGCTGGGGCGTGTGGCGCTGCGGTGCCGCCCGCGCTGCTCACCAGGAGGAGAGGTCGCTGCAATACCAGCTGACGAGCTGCGCGGTGCCGCGGACGCGCGCGGTGTGGTCGGCGACGCCGGCTTGGAGAGCGGCAACGCGCAGCCGCGTGGCGCGCTGGGGCCGAACGGCGCGTGCGGCGGGGCAGGGGCGCGCATGGTGCGCCTTGCAGGCCTGCATGGTGCACGTCAAGTGCAACTACTCTACAAGAGTATTCTTAGGAGTCTGTACGGCCTGTGGACGCCTCGGGAGTAGGCAAACCGCAAAAACAACAGAGGTCAACCGGGGTCGAGGATTGACAGTAATAAGGGGCCGGTTGGCGGAATAGCTGTATCAGATGTATGCGTCCAAATCATTCGACGCAATCCAAATCGCCAGCTGGACCCGAGCAATCCATTTTCAAAACGCTGTGACACCGCGGCGCACTCCGCGACATCAACCTTGGGCGATAACCTGTTGGTGCAACTCTTGGTGGCTTCGGATATATCTTCACTCTCAATTTGGCAGCGGTCTTAACAGCTCCGCTCATGCATCAGAAATCTGACATCAGCACGCGCATTCGGGCATGCCGGGACAGCCGCTGGGCATATCATATGCAGGCCTCGCACAGGCAGTTGCGGTGGGTGACATCGAAGCCAGCGTCCGCCGCCGCCGTCCAATCCATATGAGCGCACGCGCCTACGCAGGGCTCAGCCTTGGTGTCAGATTGTGGCAAGTTGGCATAGTTGGCACTGGCCTGCAAGGGCAGGGGCTAGTGGGAACCGAGGCGCAGGTGAGGGGCACAGCATACCAAGGAGCGACCCAGGGACAACGGCTTGCGTTGCAACACTCTCACTTTTGTGTTGCGCTTGTCTCGATGCAAGTCAAACGTTTCTCATGCCTGCTTTTGACGCATGAGCTTCTCGACCCGCTGCTAACAACTACAGCATGCATTGTAACAAGCCGCCATTCCTCGCCTGCATCTGTCGGAGTTCATGTTAATCCGAATGACAGAGTACCCATCCATTACCTCATCAATCTCAGTTGACTGGTTGAATGTTGAGATCCATCTTTACACCAATGTGTGCATTCACAAGCTTCTGATAGGACTAGGATCCTGTAACAATCCTAATCCTAATCCTTGATGCATACAGCACGCCGCACACCGACGAACGCCCCTCCCCCGAGGCCCCACGCCTCACGCGCGGTCCAGGTCGCCATAGCCCTCTCAGACCCTCCCCGACGCCATACAACGCCCCACACAACGTATTGACCCCCTCCCACCAGCCCCCGCGCGCCCTGCCGCCGGCGCTGAAACCCCCCCTCCCGCCCCTTGAAAGACATTGGATGCAAGAGAGCGTCCCCGAAGTACGCTTTACATATAGGCAGCCAGTGGGCATTTATCACTACGTGAAACACGATCTTCATCACTACAGCGCAGTCTTGCGTTCAAAAGGTGCGTCCCCTGACTTTCAGAGCCAGATTCCGAAGTGGGTGTGGGCAGCTGTGCTGCGAAGTTACAATATGACACTTACCCTACGCCATACTTCCCAACTATGAGCTGTCTCGGTTTCGTTATTGATATCATACCGTAACCCCACAGATCGAAGGCCCATACGATCTCAGCCCAGTCCACGCATCTCCAACCTGCGTGGGGTCGGGCCTAATATATATATTCACTCAGTACTCGGGTCAGTAGCAGTCAAAGCGATCTACACGCATGGCGCGACCAGCACGCTTGGCCACCGCGGCCTTGATCATGGCCATTGTAAGCCTCGTTCATACACGCGTTGAGGCACTGGTAAGTCCGTGGGGCCGGCAGTGTCGCTTGCACGCCGTTCCGAGCTGGCGCCGTGCGAGCGCGCTGCTGCCGGACTGCATTCGCGTGGTTCGACAGATGCGCGCCTTTGCCACGTGTGCTGAACGCGTCCGAGTCACACCCATACCTGATGCCCCTGGAATCTGCCACAGACCCTTGCTGCTGCCCGCGGAGACGGCCCCGCCGCAGCGCCGCACGCGGACGAGCATGCCGCGCTGCACCTCGACAACCGTGATCACCAAGAGCAGCTGCCACATGAGGCGAGGCAGGACGCCGTCAGTGCTGTGCAGCAGCACCAGCAGCCGGCGTCGGCGCGCGCCCCTGCTGGCCGCGGCGCCCCCGTCATGGCGACCCAGCCCGCCGCCGGCCCCGCCGCCTCTGCCGCATCAACTGTCGTGACTCCCCCCGGGCTGGAAGTGCCGCTGGGCGGCTTTGCCATCAGGCTGGACGAGAATGATCCACGCAGCCTAGGGCTTGCGGCCACCACCGCCCTGAGAGGTCAAGGCATCCAAGGGAGCATCGCTGAGAAGCTCGGCGCCTGGCTGCAGGCCGCAGTGTTGAAGGTGGGTGCGCACATGGCTGGACACACAAGCGTCGGGAGGGCGCGCAACCACACTGCGATATCTGGCTCTTGTCGGGCGTGCGTTACCAGTGTTAGTTAGGGTGCTGGTGGACACAGCGCCACACGGTCTGTGATGCCGGTCAGGGGGAGGGGTCACTGGATGCAGGCCCCAGAACTAGCAGCCCCTTTAAAGGAATAAACTTATTCCTTGGTGCTGCCAAGGAATGAATTCATTCCTTGGTGCACACACCCATGCTGACAAGCAAGCCCATCACATATGGTCGGGGCACACACGGGAGGTCCTCCAATGAGTGTATCTCAGATGCCTCTGATGCACGCGCGCATGCTTGTGCACCAATGCAAGCTCGCACACACGCACGCGCAGACACACACACACACACACACACACACACACACACACATGCATGCATGTCTGCACGCACGCACGCGCACGCGCACGCGCACGCGCACACACACACTCACACACACACACACACATACACACACACACACACACAAACACACACACATGCATGTCTGCATGCAAGCAAGTGCGCGCGCGTGTGACGTCATTGACGACATCTCCTCGCCTTCCTGGTACCGCAGGCGGAGGCCGAGGAGGCCAGCTCCCCCAAGCACGACGAGCCTTTCGTCCGCGTCCTCTCCTCCTCGTCCGGCCCGTTCTCCGCCGCCGCGCTCGGCGTGGCGGCGCCGGATCCGGACGGGACCGCCTGGGCCGGCGGCGACGCCCTGGAGGTGCTGATGATCTCGCAGCCGGCCGCGGGCGACGCCGCCCACAGGTGGCGGCAGGTCGCCGCGCTGGCGGGCGCGCTGCTGATGGCGGAGATCGGCCTCGCGCTGCTGGCGGCGTCAGCCTGGTCGGCCGCGCGGCGCGCGGCGGAGGCCAGGGCGGAGGCGGAAGGTCTCGAGCAGCCGCTGCTGCTTGAGGAGATCGTGGCGCGGTGCATTTGAGGGCGTGATGATGGGGCTGCCTACTGCTGCCCTGGCAGCCGAGCAGGCCAAGACACCTGGGTTCCTATGTGTTGCTGTTATTGATGCACCTTGGCCGGCGGAAGCCGCGAAAGGCATGCCGCGTGGGCAAGGGCACTTGCGGAACCGGCACTGCACATATCAGTTCATGCCCTTGCCGATTGGCAGCTAGCGCAATGGAACGACTCTTGCCGGCCGTAGACAGCTTGACCACCTGACTCTCACCCAAGGGTTTGAGCAGAAAGTTTCCCGTGACACTTGCACAATGATGCCTGATTTTGCTGGTGGCTAATTGCGAGCGGTCGGGCCACCCCGCGGCTGACGTTCCCCTTTCCACTTGCTGAATTTGCAGTTGATTTGACACAGGGTAGCTGGTGAGCTATGTATGACCACAAAACCCCACCTGAAATAACAAAGCTTGTAACAGCACTTTGACCTGATCTGTGGACAGTAATCTGGTTCTCAAAGCACCCCGCAACGCATGAACAGTCATCAGCAGCCGCAGCTGACGACTCACGAGCCCAGCTGAATTGTGCATGTTCAGCAGGATGGGCCCAGCTACCACAGTGCACTATGGGAAACACGAGTGTTCAAATCTCTACCAAAATGATTGCACATTCCTTTCGCAGTGCCGCGCGGATGGATGTGCCTATGGTACTCAAAGAGACGCCTTGCTGACCTCGGCCCCTGCCGCATCCTTCACGCTCCACTGGCCCGGCCCGGCCAGCGCCATCATCTGCGCGGGCGCCTGGACGACCAGCAGCCCCTCGCCCCCCTTTGGGCTGGCCTTGCGGGCCTTGAAGGCGGGCGGGTCCCAGGTAAGGAAGGCGCTGGCGCCCCCAGGAAGGATTGTGCCTGCAGAGGTGTTTTAGGGCCGTCCGCGAGGTTTGGTGGTGGTGTGCGACATTGGGTATATCGCAGGTAAGGGCGTGCATCTGGCTGGTCCTACGCTGCGGCGCAGCAGCCCATCGGCGGCCGATGCGGGGTGCATGCAGCAAAGGGTGGTGTGGGTGTAACGCGGCGTGGGTGGGCACAAAGGCGGGCGGCTGGGCAGCACCCAATCTGGCCGCACCTGGCGGCAGGGCCCATGAGGCGTCCCCAGAGCTCAGGGTCCATCCGCTTGCGTCCACGGCCTCGTCCGGTGACTGAGGGGTCGCGGGACGCATGGCCGGATCACCGGCCCGTGTTTAGTACTCTACATACTCCGCGCGTGGCAGCAGGCACGCTTGCAAGAGCACGAGCCCATCCAAGGTCAACCCCATCCATGACGCCGCGACGGGCCTCCCTCCTTACCCCAGCGTTGGCGGCGTCCATTTGGGGGGGTACGCAGTCACAGAAGGTTGTGCTCAACAGCACCCTCACCCCGTTTGCTATCTGGATGTAGTGCTCGCCGGCGGGCCCCGAGGTTTCGACCTTGGTCACAGAGATCTTTGCCTTGGAGCTGTCCTGGGGCCCGGGCAGCAGCGGGCGCTGACCCCCAGGGGCGTACGTCTGCAAAAGCTGCTTGGCCCTGGGCGGGAGGACCAAAACGCGCCGCAGCCAGTGGGAGCAGTGAAGGCAACGGCCCTTGGCATTCAAGGGGATTAGGGCTGCTGGAAGCTAGCAGCCGTGCACGGACGCACGAGCCCCGTGTCTTGCAGGGCTACACCCTACCATGATTATGTGCTGGCGTGTCTGACCCGCTGCTCTCCGGCTTCTGTGTCTGCACCAGCCCCCGCTGCCTCTCTATGTTCCTCCACTTCCAAGCCCCCGCCCCTGCACCCAGCTATTTCCAGGAAACAGAATTTGTTTGCCCGCTCGCCTGATGGGGATGAACTCGGTAGTCAGCTGGGCGTACCCTCGTGTCCCATCACCGCGCGCCCACTTTGCGTTGTCGCGCGCCGCGGCGTCCTTGATGCGCGCCCACGTCTCGTCGATGATCTGGTTCAACAAGGATATGCACGCAATCACTGAATGCAACGGTCGTCGCTCTAACTTGGCCTGGGCCTGGCTTGCGTGACCCTCTGAATGCACGCATGCAAAGACCCACACGCACTGCCAAGCGGCGCGCATAGCAGCAGATCGCTGCAGCCAGTGGCAACATAATCGCTGAACCAAAGGCACGCGCCTGCGGCCCAACTGCGCCCCCCCCCCTCGAACAAAACATCTTTGGATCCAGCGGGGCTCAAACACGCGTGGCTGGGCACCCACCTGCCGCAGGCGGCCCTTATCGGGCTCGGGGCCATAGAATTTGTCAGCCAAGGTCCTGAGTCGGCGGAGGTACCTGCGGGCCCCAGCAGGACGGCACGCGGCGCAAGGCGTGATGGGCGCGTGCAAGCAACGGGCGGAGCTCAGGGGCCACTCGCTGCAGAGGCACCATGTGGTGCCGGGTGCCGTGCAGGCTGCACGTCTGCTGCAGCCCCCTCCGCCGACGCCTCGGCCTGCGGCTGCACGTGCTTGGGAGCCAAGGACGAGACGCCGCAGCTGCCCCGAGGCGGACGGGCAGCTGCTGTACCGCGCTGCCCGCGTGGGCCGTCGAGGGCGCGTGTGAGGCGGCGGGTGCGGATGCTCACATGGCACGCGTGGCGTTGACGTCAAGCACCGCGTCTGTGAGGTGGTTGTATGACCCTGGGGCGCCGTTGGGGCTGGGGGTGCCAAAGGTGACCCGGTCGGGGTCATCCCAGCCGCGAGGCGCGGGGAAAGATAGCTGCAGCCGGGTTTTGGGGGATGGTTTGGCTTGGTGGGCGGCGAGACAAGCGCTGGCCGTCCGCCCATCGCGGCGGAGGGGTGCGGGAGCAAGCGTATCATATTGTGCAGCCGTGGAGGGTTGTAGGCAAACGAAATGGGGATTATGCACTGTGGCTGCGCGTCTGGGTTAGCGTCAGGCCAGGTTGCTGCTGCTGAGATTGCCTACCGCCTATATGCCATCCCTGTGCACGAAAAAAAGGCTGGCAGGAAGCCACTCAGCAGCAGCTACCGCGGCCCCGCCCGCGCCCACCTGCTGGTTGCCCTCCGCCAGGAGCTTCCCGCCAGCTGCCCCGCCCTGCAGCAGACGCCGGCCTGTCTGGGCCGTGCTGCCGCCCGCTGCGCCCCTGCCGGGCCCGAAGTAAGAGTTCAGGCCCACTACCGTGGTGGCGCCCCAAGGGGTTCTTACCTGGTGATATACCAAGTAGATGGGGCAAGCGGGGTGAGCAGGCAGTGTCTGTGACACAAATTCTGCACGGGATTTGCAACAACCAAGCTTTGCATTCTGAGGCGAGAGTCTGCCAGTTGCCTGTACAGCAGCCTTGGAGGCGGTTTTGCTGTCGTGCACAGCAGACCCTGCCCCATGCCCTCGACAACGCATGCGCTGGCATGCATGCGGCGGAAGTCGCTCGGACACCACCCCCCCTCGCCTCCCCCTCCCCCATGCACGCCCCATCGGCCCCCAATCCACGCACCTCCAGGTCCTGAGGGTGCTCGCTGTCGCAGTACAGCGGGCTGCTCCACTGCTCGCAGGCCAGCAGGCAGTACAGGTTGCCTGGGGCGCCCCCCAGGCCGTTGTCCTGCCCCATGGAGGCTTCGAGGTCCCAAGGAATCCTGGGTTTGGGGTTTTGGGGTTTGAGATTTGGGGTTTGCGGTTTGCGTTATATGCGCTGCGTTGCATTGTGTTTGTCCCTGGGTTTGTGCAATTATAAAAAAGGGAGGAGGCTGGAAGGCAAGGACTTGACCATGTGTGTATAAAGGGCACCAGGATGGACACTGGGCGTGCTGCAGTGCATTGCTTGGGTCGCCCGTTGGTGTTCGCCTGTTGCAGAGGCTTGTGTCATGCCGGCTGAGCAAACGATCGCTGCCCAGGCTTGGGGCACGCGCCCGGGCAGCAGGCGCTGCAGCCTGTGTGCCCCGAGGGCCTGCCTTAGGGGGCATGCAGGTGGGCTGCGATGCGCGGTGCGCGGTGCTGGTGTTCGAGCATCAAGACTGTAAGCCGTGATCCGGTGACCTGAGATATCTGCAGGCGGTCACCTGGTCCAGGTCTGGGCCTTGGGGTTGTACCAGAGGTAGTAGTTTTTGGTGCAGCGGTCCATGTTGCCGAGCAGGGTCTGGTACAAACAGTTTGACCAGGAGATGGGAGGTTTCTCACGGCGGGCAGCGTTCGGCGATATTCAGCTGGAGTTTTGGTGTCGCCCCTGCAGAGATGCGCGAGAGGACGAGCATGCAGGCAGCGGCAGCAGCACGCTGCCTGCCGAGCAAGAGCACAGGCAATCAGGAAAGAACCTTCTTGGCCAAGGCAGCGTGTCAATGCAGGCGTCAATGGGCGCTGCGTGCAGCCCAACGCTTGCTGTGTTCGTGCAGGCGGCTGCAACCCCGGCCTTCCCTCAGAAGCGAGAGCATGACTGCATGTATGGCTGTCATTCTTCCGTATGACAGTTGCAATTGCTGCCCACCTCAAGGGCCATCTCGTTTATGACTGAGGGAAGATCCAGAGCGTCAAAAATGAACCGGGACCTGCACAGTGCCACATCAGCACGTAGCCGTGAGTGATCTGGGCCGAGCCCCGCGCCGCGACACGCACGCTGCACTTGCGCTCTGGGCGAGCGCACGCGTCCGCAAGCGCGGCTGCACAGCAAATACATGCTTGATGAAAGTTCTGTGTTGCTCCCACCTGGGAACAAGGCCGCCTCCGGCCAGCCCTTTGGCCAGGTTGGCCAGCAGCTGCCAGTCCTCTGGGTTGTTCTTCCTGTTGTGGTGTGTGTGGCAGCAGGACACGAGCAGGGAAAAACAGCAGTTGAAATGATCCCAATGATCAATTCACTAGACACGCATTCTTCAAACCAGCGCCGACTTGTTACGATCCACCCACGCACCCGGCACGCCGCTGACAAGCTCGCTGGTAACTGCCCAATACAAGGGCGGGGCCCCGCAAGCGGTGAGCGGCTGACCCGCACCTGTTCGCCTTCCCCCAGTAGTTGGGCATCTCCTGAATAGGCAGATCCCACCGCAGGTTGGACAGCTCGCCGGAGACGCTCTTGAAAATGGGGCCGCCCGGTGGCAAGCCGAAGCGCTGTGCGGTGGGGGCAGGGCGCGTGGTGGGCGTGGCGAAAGCTCCGGCCCAAGATGGCGGGGCAGCGGTAAAAAATGCGCCGCCGTGTGGGGGGAAGCGCATGTACACGCGTGTCTCGGGGCTGGCTTTGGGTCGCGCTCAGAAGGGCGACTGCCGAGCGTCCCTTGCCGCAAGCATCATCCCCTGCTGCAGGCTCTGGCGCCGCGACGGTGTCATTGCACTCCCCCATACGCGCAGAGGCAGTACCACCACAGCTGTTCGCGATTCAGGCCGTTGGCTGGAGCCGCGACCAGCAGCAGTGCAGCCGCCCCCACACCTGAATGAGCTCGTTGTCAATCTCCTCCACCAGCTCATACAGCCCGGCATACTGCCCATTCAGGTAC